GGAAAGCTCTGGGAGAGCTCAGAGCCCTTTCCAGTGGCCAAAGAGGCTCCAGGACAGACGGACAGGGATTGGGGACAAGAGCCCGGAGTGCCAGGACATGGGAATGGCTTCAAAGGGAAYGAAGGTCACGCTGGGTGAGATATGGGGAAGGACGATTTCACAACGGGGAGTGGGTAAACACGGGCTGAGGTCACCCAGATAAAACTGCCCCATCCCTGGGAACGTTCAAGGTCAGGCTGGACGGGGTTTGGGGCAGTTTGGTGGAGTGGAAAAGGCCGGACTGGGCTGTCCCCGTGCTGTCCCCACACTGTCCCTTCCCTCAGGCAGCCCCAGTGACCGTAGTGCAAATCAACCATTCCCATTCCCCCTTCCAGTCCAGTTCCCAACTGGTTTTCCTGAGAGCAAGCAGATCCACTCAAAAAACACCACTCAGTCCACAGAAAGCGACGTGAGGTCCCAGCCGAGCTTGCAAAAGCACTGAGCGTGCAGGAGGAAGCCTAATTTGGGGTKTTCTAGAAGCAGAAGCCATTTCAGAATGCCAAGAATCCTCAGGAAAGGAAGGACGGTCTGGTTAAAAAAACGCAGGGATTGGTAAAAAAAACCCGTGGAAAAACCCTTCTCTGCTCCGATCCCAAACTGGTGTGTGTAGTACCAACACTTCCAAGTGAGGTGGTCCCAGAGGCAGCTTGGAATGATTCAAGGCTCTCCCCCCATTGCAGAACCTCGTTTTTTTTTCATTGAAACCAAGAAACCAGCTCGGATTTCATGAGGAAGCACCAAGAAGGGACCTGTGACTCCAACAGAGAGGACCCCGCGCTCGTACTCGGGGTGAGGACCAGGACTCTGCGGCGGATTTGGAGAGGAGGAGCCATGGGAGATCAACAACAGCTAAAATTCAAGTGTTCTGGGAGGTATTTCGTAGCTTCAACTCGAAGGAATGAGGCGCAGGCTCTGCCCCCTCTCTCTTCAGCTCGTTTCGGCGAATTTGAAAAGTCTTGCCTTGGTCAGTGCTTTGACGATGGCCTCGGCCACCCCACTCTGGTGGAGCTGGACCAGAGTGTCCAGCAGAGTGTTCACCGAGGACTTGGAGCCTTCCCGACTCTGCCATTTGTACAGCATCTGGTAGAAGCCGTCCTCGGAGTAGTCCTGCACCACGTCGTTCTCCTCCAGGTCCAGGCTGCGGCCGAAGCGCCTCCAGCTGTTCTTGGGCACCTTCTCGGCGAAGGTGTAGAA